TGAAATAATGAAGATGGATGACCTTTTTTAGCATCCTTCGGTTCTACAGAGACAAGATTAGTTGGCTTTAAACTGAAACTATAAACTTTAATATAGCAAATTATTGGAAACGACTTGTTATGAAAAACCAAACAGGGTTTATTTTTGCACTGTCCACTAGATAAAGTAGTGTTGCTACACACTCAGCACATTCAGGACTCCAAGCTGAAAACGTTTGGGCTTCAAAAACAAGATGTTGTTGTCTTCATTAGATCAGATCGGATTAAATAACAACCTAATTATTCCCTCAGAAAAGTTCCCCCAGGGAGAATCAACTTTCATCAGTGCAGCACTCAGACCACAGAGAGTTAGAGACTGTGGTAGAAAATACCAGACAAAATATACAGGACAATCCATACAAACTGTGTTTTTTTTGCAGTCTAATAAATGTGCTTTGAAAATGTATCATATGTTTTGATTTTTCTCTCATTTGAAGCTGTGCAAAGTGACATAAATGTGTGTAAAAGGCAGTGTCTTTAGTGCTTTCGTGATTTTCACACCACTGCTGACTGTTCTGCCGTCTCCGTCTGTCTGCTCAGACTCAGACTGAAGTGCAAACAGGAGCCAGAGCCAACTGTGCCGTCCGCCAGTCATGCGAACAGCCAGTCTGAAAGTCTAATATTTGTGTTATTGTGGGCAGATGTGAAACACCGCCTCTGTTTGAGGCCTGTGTGCACATGTAGTACTGCATAGACTTATACATCTGTATACTCAAGGTATGCGCTGCAGGTGCACACTAAGACCTCCAATACTTTGTGCAGCAACTTTTTTTTCTGTTGTTGACTTCCTTTACTTTCTGCAGTAAAGTAAAATTGATGATTTGATTATTCACTAAAATATCAAACTGCCAAAAAAAGAAATGCAAAGACAGTTTTATGCTGCCTCCTTGGCCACGTCTTTGTTAAGAAATACATTTTAAATCAAAATTGCATTATTTAATTAATATTAATATTTAAATACTGGATGAAAGTAGTTAGGAGTTTTAACTGGCAAACATTTTACTATTTCTACAAAATTAACAAGATTATAAATTACTGCCTGCAATTCATTTTTGATGTTGAGACAAAAGCAATCAAGAAACCTGCTGACAGATGTTCTAAAAGATGAGAAGTGTCTTTTCAGACAAAGATATTTAACAAACCCTCCACAAATATAAGAAGTCTAGCTGGACATTTAGCCCCTGTGTTCACTGGGTATTTATTTGTCATGTGTTAATTTTAGATCCATGTACAGACAGATATGTCCTTAGTTTTCTGTGGGACTGTGTCTTCCTCAGTGGTGGACACAGCAGCTCTTGTGTTGAGAGGAAGCAGAGCTGCCACAAACAAAACAAAACAAAAACCACAACACGTTTTCCACCCAATCCCTTACTGTACAAAGACCTGCACTTCCACTAGTGGGCACTGGTTCACACACAACCAACAGCTGGAGGAAACTGTCCAGACTCAACACAAAGAAGGGCACTGTAATTGCGATGTGTAAATACAATAAAATGGTGGGTAATCATAATATATACACATATTAACTTTTTCTTTAGTGACAGGAGTTGCTTTTCACGCCTGTGTCTATTGGGAGTCAGTGTGACACCAACATACACTCACAGTGACTTTAGGTTTGCAGAAGAAGGGAGTTGAATCTTTAAAAAAACCACAAAAAAAAAAAAACCAAAGAGGTATAAAGCGAGTTTAGAGTTTACCCACCAAAACATCCCTCAACACCTACATGTGCCTGTCCATTGATGCATGCCGAGAGACAAATGCAGACTGTGTGCGATGCAGTAAGTGTGTGTGATGTTGGGCAGTGCTGCACACAGCCGCTGCCAGTTGTAACAATCTGTCTCTCATTCTCTTTTATAAAACTGAGAGGCTGTCCCTGCTCTGGGCGCTCGGCAGAATTCCTGCTTTCACTACAGAGGAGCTCGCGTCTAAGCGCTTTATTGAGTTTATGTGACTGTTTTTCCAGTGAGGTATCATGACAACATGTTCCTGTTGCCACTGATGCTGCCTATAAGCAGGGGTGGGTCAGTATGGACCATCGAGTCACAGCGCAGGCTGCAGGGAGCGCTACTGAGTTAATACCAAAGTTTACTTTTTTTTTTTTGAAAACTGCATTTCCCTCCAAATATACCCAGAATCAAACCCCCTAAAATGCAACAAACTTTCTTATGATGGCAGCTTGTTTAATCATGCTCAAATAACCTGAACATAATCAATGCACATATATATAGTCAGCAATTACATATCAATTAAAACTCCTGCCTTTGATTTTAAATTTTACAAAGGAAATGTGTATTTATATCTTTATTGTGTGAAAAAATCCTACTTAAAAAACACTCTCAACTGCCATTACATTTTTTATGATCTCGCGCACCTCCTGGTGGTAGCGCACCACACTTTGGGAATCCCTATGTTAACCCAATATGTATGTGTAATATCACATTTATAATGTAATGGTGAGTTTACTTGTAAAATGATTATGTTACAAATCAAGCTTCTTCATCTAGTGACATAACATGACGCAAGGAGTTTTTTTAATATTAATATTTTAATTTTTATATTTTTGTGTTGTATATTAAATAGGGATTGGGCCGATAATATCGGTGGGCCGTTATTGTGACCCATGCTGTAGGTGTGTTTGTGGGTTCATAGTTTATACTCGACCTAACATGACCACAGTCAAGCATCGGATGTAGGTGAAGGTCAGGACAACGTCCTCCTTCTTTGCGGACACATGGACAGACCACAGAGAATGGGTTTTAAATGTATACATCAGGATGCTGTGTCTCTAAAACACACCAGGCCACAGAGGGACTGTTGTCCAGATGTCCAACACCTGTACCACCTCTGACAGCTGTCACCGCTTCTGGACAAAGTTATGACATCTCCTCTTGAATTATTGACACTTTCCCTATGGATTTCTCTCTTTTTTCTTCATAAAGAACCTCTCCGACGTGCAGACAGATAAATGTTTAGAGGTGGGTTGCGGTTGAAGGAGTCATGAGTCAGACGTGGGGTTATATGTTATTGTCTTGTGTTCGCTACCACCAGGGAAGACGATGTGGTGGTCTGCACGTGTGACTTCAGTTTTCCTCAGGTGCCTGCTGTCTTCCAGAGGGCAGCCTTCATATGTGGTTCTTCACTCAGACGTTTGCATTAAGAGCTGCTGTGCCTGAGGTTAAGGCATGAACTTAAACATTACCCCTCTTGCAGAGGGACCTCCCACACTATATACCGTGAGGAACTTTGAGTCGAGTCTTGAAGTCGCTGCTTGGTTCCACAGTCTCAGCAGATGGAGATGTCCTGAAAATGCCTTCATTACAGTAGACCTCATAATTGACTAAAATCTCGGCCTGTTTAGTTGAAGACAGCGCTGACATTCTGGCAGGAATTAAAGAGAGACACATGCAAAGATCTTCTTTAACAGCTGTGATTATTTTTATAAAATAAATAAATAATAGTTCTGGGATCAATTAAGTGACATTGGTTAATTTGTCAAGGCGCACCTAATGATCGCTCACGGCACACTGGTGTGCCACGGCACAGGGGTTGGGAATCACTGGCCCAGACAGACTATAATAGCTGGCACTCATTTCTTTCCTCCTCTTATTTTCTGGAGGTTGTGTTTAATACCAACAAAAACATGTCTGCTGTTCAACAGCTATTGACACAGCTGAGTTTGTTCAAGCCCAGCCCATCTGTCAAATCCTTTATTTACAAAAATTCCTCATATAGTTTGTCCGTCCTGCAGTCAGACGGTGTCTGTGCTGTTCTGGGGGGGGGGGGGCTGTTTGTGCCAAGATGCATATGTTTGTGTTTGTGAACGTGTCAGTGTGTGGACTAAAGGGCCATTAATGAATAGCAAACAAGTAAAACAAATACAATTTATGTGGATTTTATGTGAAAATGTCTGAGACACTACAAACAATATTAACATTGCCCCCATTTTGTTTAGTTGATTTTACATCAGCCGAAAAAATAACCTCTACAATAAATAACCAAGGAACTGTTGTTCTGCTGTGGATGAGTGTCATGGCTTTACATTTCTGAGATCTGTCGGTGTGTGTAACGCCTAGGGAAAAATTGGTCCTTTCCTGTTGATTTGAGTGAAGTGAGGTTGAATCTACCTCATGGCTGATGAAGAGAGTGTGTACATCTCATTGAGACCAAAGATTTGTGTGTGTGTGTTCAGAGGGCAGGGCTGCTCAGTGTGGGTGTGTTAGAGGGAAAACCTTATAAAAGCCATGGAGAGCTGTTCTCCTCTACTCATCTATCAGTTTATCTGTCCATCAGCTGCTCTTTGGTGTCCAACTTGTCTCCATCACCTCGTCTCCATCACCTCGTCTCTATCACCCCGTCTCCATCATGCTGGCTCCAGCTCTGCTCCAGACTACGCTGGTTCTCTGGCTGGTTCAGCAAACTCTGCAAGGCGGTAAGAAAGAAATAAGGAATAACATCAGTGATGACATGATGTGGAGGTTATACTGCAGTAAAACAGTGTCGTTATCGTAATTATAGTAATTCTCAAATGACATCTGTGCAATTAACTGTTTTAAATTCCAGTTTCAAAAAATGTCAAAAGTCAATGTTTTGTGAAGTTTAGTCAAATTCTACTTTAATCAAGATTATACAGATGAATTAATTAAAATCCTGCTGTAGCTCTAGTTAAAGAGAATAAATAATCAGAGTGTAGGAGATAATTATGATAATCTAAAGATTTAATCTTTATTAGTAATATGATAATGCTGGGCTTTTTCTGTGGATTTAGGGATCCTGAACGAGATTAACATTAACATCCACGTTATTTATACAAATAAAATCAACTGTTTTATAAAACTAAAATGTAAGTAAATAAACCTGGACAAGATAGAAGAGAGAGTTTTTAAATTTAGTTTTTAATAATAATAATAATAATAATTCTAAAAACGTAGTATTTCCAATGTTGTGATGTCACAGTGTCTGACAGTGGTCCACTCCCACTCCCCTGTTAAATCTCATGTCTGTGACAATGAGACTTTGAAAAGCACTGGACCAAGTCAGCACGCTGCAAATCTGCCAAGACTCTGCGGCTCGTACGATTTAAATCTGCTGAATCTAAAAGATGTGAAGATGAAAAATGTGACGACCAAACGTGAGGAGAGCCGGTGGGCTCATGACACACACGCTTTGATTCTTCTCATCTTCTCTTACTGCGTCTGTCTCCGTCCTCCTGTCGTCCAGGTGACAGTGTCCTCATACTGTGTGATGTTGACAGGTGTGAGGTCATTAACGTGGTCGTCTGTCAAAGAGATGAGAAATCTCTGAATAATATCTATATATCACTTCAGATAGATACATGATAGCTGAAGGAGAAAAAGAAAATTATATTAGCAAGAATTTAACTTAAGGAATTTTACATCTAATTCAAATGGTTCAATTTGATAGTGCCTTCATCGTCTTTGTTGTAATTTATTTATGAATTTTTGTTGATTATTTAATTTACGGAATGTTCACTTTTTCAGGGGTGGTTAAACCTCAGAGTGTTTCCTGGGGGAAAGTACTGCCAGCTAGAGGTACATTATTTTACACTCTTAAATATTTGATGAGTTATTTTTAAATGTTTTTTCTTTGAATTTTTTTTTTTGTGAATTTCTCTGATGCCTAGTACAACTAAACATAAAGAATCCAAAATAATCTTAAAGATAACACATTCATACAATACTAGAAAATACATTTGATTATTTTTTTATTTAAATATTTCTGTCTGTGTCCGGTTTTCAGGTGTTAATGTTGCAATGAAACCTGGAGGTCAGTGATTAACTGATGAACCTGAGGAAATTCAATGTGTTGCATAATTAATTGCTTATTAAAAACATTTGATTTCTTTGAAAACAGATAGATAGATAAATTGATTGATATTCTTTGCACTTCAGTTGCAGGAACTCTCGGAGCTCTTGGGAACCGATTTGGCACTAAAGCCATGAAAACTGGAAGTAGGTTTGCTCATCCTCCGACAGTGGTGTCTCCATCAGAGGATTTAGTATTTGTACAATTCTGGGGAATAGTCTTTGATACCAGTTCACAACCTGCTTAAAAAACAAGATTTGTTTTTTTCTTTTTTGGAAATTTGGGGAAAAGAAATAAAAAGTATTTGCAAATCTTCTCAAATTTGACTATTTTCATCTGGGTTTATATATTCAATGTTTGCTCACACAGCTGAACATTTTCAATACACTGATAATAAAACTAGACCTGTTTCACTCTATCTTAGAACTTTTTGACTCCGTTGGTCGTTATCCCGGGGCACAGCTCGGTGTTGGTAAGTCACATTTTTACTGCATTTGGCAAAAAAAAAAATCTAGTTAGTAAATCCTCAAATATTCGTCTATGTTTTGAATAATTATGATCCAAACCAAATCCTCCCTCTGGTGACCACAGGGGGATTCCGTTCTCTGGGACTGGGAAGTAAAGCAGGTCTGAAGCAGGGCATGTTACCACAGGGGGCCTACGGTGAGTCACTGTAATCACTGTGACCTTTTCTCTGTTACATTTCATATTGATAAGTGTCATGTGATGCAGGAGCCAGTCTGGGAACTGGAATGCCAGTGGGCGCTGGTCTCACCAATGGGCTGGGGCTGGGCTTGGGTCAGGCTGGGAGACGTGGTGAGACTGAATATTTAGTTCTGCCTTTAAACTGCCTTCATTGTAGTTTTTTGTTTGACTTTTTTTTCATACAGCCTAGTAAGAATTCCCCCGTACAGGGAAATGTGTTCTATTTACTGTGCATGTGACAAAAACACAAACATTTGAAGTTGAAGTACTGATGCAAATCCTACTTTGTACTGCTCTGTGTGAATATGAATGACTTTGTCATTTTTTACTCTTCAGTTTATGGCGCTGGTCTGGGAAATCTGCCCGGTGAGTATTTGCACAGTTTACTCTTTTGGACTGCGTTCGGTGTGAGTTTGTTTGATAAATCTAAGCATTGTCAGAGAACATGATGAATTACACTGATACCATCGAAGCACATAAAACACACTGCCCTATTAAAAACAAAAACAAAAAACCCTGCAGAGTTTAAGAGTGACGCTGTTCTCTGAACTCTTTGTTGTCGTGCCAGGATATGGGAGCGTAGCAGGCGTTGGATATCCTGGAGCCAGACCAGGTTGGTGATGAATCATGTTTAACATTAAGACGCTGCAGTATTTCTATTTATCAGTTCAGATTGATATGCTGCAGGGAGTGTTCTCACGTCAGATTACCAACACTAACTCACACTTAATCCATAAATTGACATTTGCGCGGAGCTAAAAAGCTGCAGTGAAACCAAAGATTACGTAAATGTCATTTTTTTAAAACCAAATTAAAACAGATATAGTATCAGTGCTAATCAATCAGTGACGCTTCCTCTGTCTGCTGTCATCAGGCCTTGGACTTGGTTATCCCACCGGACAGAGGCCTGAGGACCAAGTACCTGGTAAAGTCTTAAGTCTATGATCTGGTGTCTGTGCCTGTTTTTACTCTGTGTAACTTCCTGTGAGAACGCAGAGGTGCATGCTGGTCCAACCTCTCACGATGTGTTTGCTGCATGTGGCATGAGTAGACGTGAGGTGGACGGCCGTCTGCTGACTGTGGGGAAAGTTTGTATTTCACTTACATGGAAAATACGCAGAGGTAGTTATGAAACACTGTGTATATATAGTGGGGATTATGGGGAATTATCTTTGAGCTTGAATCATATATTCATTCTTGGAGAAAGCGATCGTTTCTTGAAAGGTTTGTGCATTTCAAAGACTCAAACCTGTACTTTGGTGACTCACATTGTTGTGTGCAAATGTTTTTCTTGTGAAACATTTGCTTCGTTCTGCCCTCTGGTGTTGTCTGTTGTGTTTGTCACACTCTGTCTGTGTCAGTTGTTGTCCTTGTCCTGCGCTGTTTCACCGCCTTTCTGTGTTAACGGACCGCAGACATTTTCTCGTCATGTCGATTGATGACGACACTGAGTGACTCAGTGTCAAGGACCGCGTCTGTCCCTCCAACACATCTGTTGTGTGTGGTTCTCTTGCTTTTGTTTTGACCGTTGTGTCCTGCTCTGTCAACTAATCTCGAGCCATAATGGACCTGGTCTTGTTACCATTTGGTCTCATGTACGGATGATGTTGTGTAATGCATTCACTGCTATCATGCACACATCCTTGAATTCAAAGTGCAGTCTTTGAATTAGCAGATGGAAACATGTTTGTCCACCCCCTCGCCGTACAGTGTCCTCTTCAGCGTCAAAAAGCACTGTTGATTTTGAGCAATGAAGAAATCATGAAAGACAGTGTCTCTCTGCCAGGTGTCTCTGCAGCAGATTTGGGTGGACCTGGGCTGGACAGTCTGGGCAAAACCATTCAGGATCTGAGGAGAAAACAGCTGAGAGATTTTGTTCGATTGTACGGACACAGGTACAAAAGTCTTGGACCTTTGCTGCCACCTGGGAGTGATGCCGTCCTTGGTCATTCTGCATCCCAGTTACAGACAGGAGGACAGGTCAGACTCCTCGATAAGGTGTTTGAGTCAGCAGGTTTGGGGCAAAATCCTGGTTTTGATGAATTACAAGCCAGAGGAGGACAGGGAAGTTTTGGGCCTATGATCGTGAAAAGAAAAAGCATCACAGTGGCAGCTGGAGGAGTGACACGGCAACTGCCTCTGGAAAAATATGACATCGGCCACCGTGACTCCGTTTTGACACCAAGACCAGAGGACGGTGATCCGAGCATTCAACAAAATCAGCAGATGCTGAACTGTGGGTTCACAGGGGATTTATCAGAGTTTTTGAAAACAGAAATTATTCAGGGTTCAGTTTCTCGACCTGACAGTGGAAAAGATGGCAAAGATGTGACGGCGGACGCACAAAAAGAGAACACTCGCCCAGAAACTCAACAACCCGCAGTTACAGCAGACAAACAAGGTGATAAAGACCTTGGAGTTGGTACTGAAGACACAAATAAAATTAGAATCCGTGGAACTGTCGCTGTTGAACACCGCAGTGGTGGCTCTCTCAGTCTTCAAGGAAAAGTAGGACTGCTGGTTCCACGGGCAGGTGATGGCCAAGGTGTAGGCATCGGCGTGTCGGAAAAGCAGGAAGCTAAAGGCGTTACTGCCGAGGGTCAGAGTGCAGAGCAGTACGCTATCAAAGAGCCTAAAGTGCTCAATATTCCAAGGCAAACCGGGAGGAATGATCAGACATCACGTAAGACACCTTCTCCACTTCTCATCACTTCTATTTCCAGCATTCAATGTATTATTTAATCATCTAAGCGTTACATCAGTTGTTTCAAAGTCATCTGGTAAGAAATGATGGTGATTCCAAGGAATTCTTCATTCTGCATATGGAAGATGGCAAATTCAAATTACTGACATCATTGAGGAAAATTAGGAAAATATCTGAACACCAGCTGAGGCAGATGTATCACGTCTGGTTTAGAGCCCAGGTGTAACTAAACTTTTTTTTTTTTATATGAATACATGGTAAACCATGAGAAACGGTGTGGAGGTGACATCCACCTTCTGGTTAAACAGAGGCTTCTGTGTGGAGTTCCTTTTTTTCCTTTTGTTAACAGCTGCCCCAGGGAGACAACTTTGTTATTTCTTTCTTCAATTTGCCATAACGTCTACATCCTGTGACCTATGATTGTGAACCCATATTCTGTTATCATGGTGCTTTATTGGTCTGGGTTTCTTTACACATTCAAAAATATGACACTTTGTCTTATTTTGTATATGTCTGGCTCGTCCGTGGTCCATTTACAATTTTATTATGTCAGTGGTCTGTGGTGTCTGGTCTCTATGTTTGGATTTGGTCCAGGAAAGTCTCTGTAGAATGGTGAAGGTGCTGAAAACCTAAATCTAAGTGTTCACAACACGTGTGTCTCATTGTTCCACTGTCTTTGGCAAATGTCAAGACCATACCTGAAAGTTGTTGGAATGACTGTCTCTATATGCCGAGGCATGCCCTACATTTTGGCTGGCAGCGATTACAGGTTTTAACCATTTGACATTTGACTCTGACATATGGTATAATTACTAGAATAGGTTGGTGTTTTCAAAGAGAAAATCTGAATATCAGAGCTAATGCTAAGTACTGGTGTTTTATAATATTGCTGGAAACCAGGTTGTTTCACCACACATTGTGACATTCGTCTTGTTTTGTGCTAACTTTCTCCACAGGTTATGCTGGAGGAGCAGGGAACTACCTGGGAGCAAGCCTGGGCAATGGTGGATATGGAGCAGGTAAGGTTGGGTTAAAAGTAGATAAAAGAAAAATACTGTATCAACCAAAACTGGACCGTCTTAGATGAAGGTGTGTGTTTACTTCACCTGTGGAAATGTCGTATTCACAGGTTTGGGACAGGGTGGGTATCTGGGAGCTGCAGCTGGAAAACTGGGAGGTGGGCACCTACATTTTACTCCTTTTGTTAATTATTGTGATGTAAAGGATTTTCATGCTTGTTACACCACGTCTCCTGACCCTCGTCTCTGTCCTTACTGACAGCACATGGACAAGGTTTATATCCCCAGGGTGTTCCAGGCAAGTCCATGTATCAACTCCTTCACTAAAATAAAAGATACATTACATTTACGTTGGAAGGAATCATCACACTTCTCTGTCACGCATCAGGAAATGTGCTGCTCTCACACGTTGCCTTGTAAAAGCAGCATTTGCTCAGTGTTAGAGAAAAGCAAACACACCAGTAACTTCTATGTTAGTAAGGTTTCTTCTCTGCATTTATAAATAATTGGTTGTAATAAAAAAAAACATAAATCTATATACATAGTTAGAAGGTAAATTAATGACTTTTCTCTCCTTTGTTGACTTAATTCTTCACTGGGCTCAGTCTAAACACTGTCATCCTTGTGACCAGTTCTGTGTCTTTATCACAGGCTATGGTGATGGAGCCTACCTGGGAGCTATGGGAAATGGCTATGGTGAGTTCATTGTGTCAGCCATTATGTTTACTTTACGTTAGAGAAAACAGGACGTTGGTGAAACTAAAACTAAAACATGTTAGCTTGGGACAAACGTAACACTACTTGTCAACGTCTCCAGCTTTAGTCATCGCTTATGCTAATATTATATTTAATATAATAGATATTATATACTTTAAGATTGATTTCTTACTTCCCATATTCCATTATCACATTTCCCCTGAAAAGCCGATGTTATTCCCTAAAGAAATTAATTAGAAAATATAAACTACTGTAGCAGAAAATCAAACTATTTCCACCAAAATTACTTCTACGTAGGGTTTTGTAGCCAGTACCTACTGGCTGAGAATGGTACTGCAACTGAAAGTTCTAACCTAAACTGATTTTTGTTTTACTGCTGTACTATTGTACTATGTCATTTATTTAGTACTTATTATATTTGCATTTCCATCCTTAAAGGTTTTTTGGTAATGCTTTTTTTTCAGAAAATGTTTGACATTAAAATTGTGACGTGTTTGGGTTGGTTTATAAGCACAGTAAAGTTGATACACGGTTTTACTAACGCTGCTTTTATTCTTCAGGCTACGGGAATGGTTACAGCGACGGCTACGGCGCTGGTGAGTTCTGATTGTGGGGTAAAAATGTGAATGGATGAACTTGAGGAGTTAAAGGCTCACGGACTTAATTTCAGTGCTAATTAGAACTATGTTTCAGGGCTTGGTTACCCTACTGAGTTAGCTGATCGGGGTGTGAACAAAGCAGGGAAGCGTGAAGGTAACTGGTACTGGTTTAACCAAATGGGAGCCTTCGCAGATACCAGTACAGCATTAACCTGTAGAAACCTAACCTGCTGCAGCTGGAAATAAGAGGCCATGAGTGGAGCACACGTGTCGTAGCTGCTGTCTCTTATTTATTAAAGCATTTTAATCTTGCAGTTTCTGACTCCCTGCTACTGTACAGTAAATGCTTCTTTTAACCCGGCTCTGTAAATTGGTTTTAAAAATATGTGACCCTGACCCATGTTTTTTTTATTTTTGTATTATTTTTAGGCTTCAACGCTGGAGCCTACGGCCCCGTCCAGGGATCCTACGGTAAGATCTTTAATGATGGAGAAACATCAAAAACAGAATGGAGTGTGTTCCTCATGCTAACATAAATTAAAGTCAGTAAACAGTACTAGTACTATGTAAAAGTCTTAACCCTCCCTTCTCCCCCGCGTGAACTGTGTAGCTCGTTCTGAATCAGCAATAGATTTGCTTGTTCTACCACAAAGTGCTGACGCATCAGAAATCATACAACCTACTTCAAAGCTATTTTTTTTTAAGTCTCAGACTCTGAGTCATGTGCACGTTGAAGTAGGTTTCAATGATTTCATCATATTTGAAATAATGTTGAAAGATTCACCCTGAAACTCTTGTCCTTTTTTCAGGTACACTCGGTGCTGGTCTGGAGTCAGCTGGTGGTAAATATGGTGAGAAATGAGACGTGCATGACTTCTTTAGTGAGTCACTGTATTAGTCAGGCTTCACTCTTATTGTCCTTTCGTGATGAGTCAGCTCTGAACTGGTGGACAGCTCAGAGCGGAGTCAAAGCTTTACACGTACGATAAAATGGTGGAAACGGTATGAGTGACAGTATGTTTTTTTTTTCATGCAGCAGGAGGAGCTGGTTCTTATGGAAATGCTCCAGTAATTCCCGCTGGACTGGAAGGTACTTTTACATATAATAGGCTCCGTTTGATATAAAACACAATGTTATACAATATAAAAAGTGTGGAGCCCACTACCTGGGGGAGGATGGGCCCATCAGCTAGACCGGTTCATGGTCATCCTGAACCAAAGGAAGGGGTTTTGCAGCCATCTTTATTGTAATGTTACTATGACTCGCCATTTCACAGGCATGTGGTACCAGTCAAAACATCGAGACCCTCACCACATCATAGCACACATACCATAATAATAAAACATACAGCTCCAGCGACCCGAGGAACCCCAGAAGATTGAAAAGCGACCACCACCATAAACATTTACAACCTCCTCCTTCTTCTTCACTTGAACTGTGCGCACACTTACTCATCTTGTCAGTTCCCATAAGCTCACAGCTCTAACAGACGTATGTCTCCACAGGTGACGGGGGCTATCCGTACGCTGCTCAGCCCCTCAGCCTCAACGCTGAAGGTGCCAAATCCTCCAGCAAATTTGGTGAGAAACGGAGAGTGCGTCAGTTTAAGTGTGAAAAACACTGTGGTTGGAAACAGGCTTCTCGCACGAAACGAAAGAATAAGATGAGCTGCAGGCGTTTACTGCGAAGACAGAATCATTTCTCTCCTTTGTTTTTAAATAATGGGCCGTCTCAGGGGTTTTGTGATTTAAAGTGAATCTGTGCGATGTGTTCATGGCTCAGTGGGTTTAATGTCCGTGCTGTGTTTCTGTTATTTATGACCCCCCGCCCCCTGAATTCTTTTCACATACTGCAGTCCATTAATCGTGCCTTGTGTTGTTTCAGATGCTGGTGTAGGATTTGGACCCCGGCAAGCAGGTGAACAGTTTCATTATGACAGCAGCCATTACTTGTACAACTAAAATTGCACATCCTGTACACTACTGCATCCCATACCATTTCATTAAAAGAAAACTTTAGATGCCATTGTTTTAAAGAGAGAAACCATATGTGACCTCATTGTATTGATGGGCAACGGATCAAACAAAAAAAAAAGATGACCAAAAAAAAAAAAAAAGGCTCAGCAACAAGACATCAGCATGTCACTGGTCTGTTGACCTTGTTTTCTTTTTTTTTCCACCCACCAGACCATTAACCACACACACAAACACTTCAATATCCAAAAGACATCCTGTCTGTGGGGTAACATAAGGTGACGCCATATGTTTTCTTAATGTTTTTCAGGTTACGGTGCACATCTAGGAGCCACTCAGGATGCTCTGAGTAAGGTGGAAAACACGACAGAATCTAAATACTACTTGAGTGATTATTGTGTGTTTCAAGATGTTTACAGACAGTATAAAAAAAATGTTTTACTTAAGGAAGAGGAGTGGATATTAATGACTTCAAATAATTCAAATACAAAATTTAGGACCACAAGCTACAGGTGGCACCCTTTTTATATGTTACCAGTGCAAAAGATGCCTCTGGAATCTCTGCTACTTCCTGGGATCTGCTGTGAAAAACCAAAATTCTCTTGAACTTGTCTATAATGACTTCACATGTAAATATCCAGAGTCACTCAAATATAGTTCAATAGTATTTGGAAGTTGAGCAAATGCACTTACTGCACATGTAAATACATACAGTGCCACATGTGTGTTGTGTAGATTTGCAGAGTGATTTGATGGTTTTAAAAAATTACATGAAATATCTTCGCCGATTTAAATATAAGTTTGGATTTACCTACCTACAGGAGAGCAACGTGGCAAATACACTGGTGTGAACGGTGCCCTGGGAAATGGTTACAAAGGTAAAAAAAGTGAAATGTTATATATAAATATATACTTATATTCACATAAATAATGTTCCTGACAGGCAATGCTGTGTTCACACCACACATGACATTTATTTTTGTGAAAAATATGAGATGTGTGTCAGTGTTTGTCTCTGACCAGTCTTTTTCTCTGCCCCTCCCTCTGTCTCACCAGCCTGATTCAAATGAACCTGAGCTTCTTCAAGTGAACCATTTCCTTGAGGTGTTCGCTACGATGTGTTTTGTGTTTTTCTAGTCCGTTTTGTCCAGTTGTCTTGTGAACGTTGACCCTGTTTTAAGTTCTTCTCTCTGTCTGTCTGTCTGTGCTCATGGATATGTCTCTTGTTAAGCCAGAACCTGCAGCACAAGTGCTCGGAAAACTGTGCCAGTGTTCAAGTTACCGTTGACATGGATTGCCTTCTGATTGAAGCCAATAAATTATACGTTACATGATGCTGACCCAAAGTTTCGGAGTTAAGATATATCACTTTTTGTTTACCTCAAATGTTCTCTTTAAAACCACACAGCACACGGGAAGTTGTACCACTTCCTTTTTCATGATGGCTACTGAAGCCTCACAAAATGACACCAAGATGCAATTCATTTCAAGTGGAACTAAATGAAACTACTAAGTAGCCTGATTATATATTGCTTCTATTGTGGTAAAAAGAACATACATAAAGCCAAAAGAAAACCCAATAATATCACATGACGGAAGACAAACATGTTTCAAACAAATGCACTGCATATAATAAAATGGTTTAATGCATAGAAATGAAACAATGTCAAGTAGGTTTATACAAAACACTTTCTGTTTCTTAAAAACATGCCACTCTAGGCGAGAATTTTCCATTGGTTAGAAGTTTTTGAATTACATTACTTGTAACAACAAAGCAATGTGAATGCTGGTTGCCTTGACATTAGCTCATAAAACAAGTCTGAAAACAATAGATAAAAAACCATAGAAGATAAAAACACAAGAACATAAACCAAAAATGGACCAGCAATGAGAAAAAAAACAGTTGCCAGTTTTTATTTTTTCTGTGGTTTAAACCTATTCCTTTGGTCGGTCGACTTGAAAACACAGTGGATACCAATTTTATCGAAAAGTTCATTTCACGGATATAAAAAATAGCATGGAGTCATTGTGTAAGACTGGAAAATGTCTCTTAAAGTAGAGTCTGATTCTCTGCGGGGACTACCTAACAAAAAAGTCAAGACTGTGTTTTTGTGATCAGATGAAAACTTTTACTGTTAGAAGTAGAATAGTCATGTCTTTGAAGAAATGATCATGATCAAAGGCTACAGGCTAACTACTCTGGACTACTCAAGACTGCATTTCTGATGTCTAATCTAAAGCCATTATTATTTTTTCCAGTGTTTCTCTGATGTGTAGCCACATCACCCTCACTTTACTGCTATGTAAGACTTTGGTTTTTCGGAGGCCGGTCCACAAACACACCCATGTCTAACAGCACATCCCGTGGAATGGGGTGAGAATGACGGGAGACATAGAGCTTCTTCAGACTTGACCTCATTGGTGAAGGCATGTACTGCATGCAAGAATCTCCAGCTAGACTTGGAGCACAAGTGATCTCCAGTTTGAAGAACAGCCGACCGTGCTGCAAGGCACACACATCAGATTTGACTCCCGGAGCTACAATTTGCTCACAAACTCCCAACAGGTCATTATCCCATCCGCTGTCCTCATCCCACACTTCAAATCTAACTTTTTGCCCTGAGGACAAATCCTGAGCATGCAGGTCAACTATTGTGTTCCACTTTGGGTTGTTGTTGTTGTTAATTACATGTGACTGCTGAACAATTTTATCATTGAACAAAACCTTAACGTAACCATCGGTGGCTGAGCCATGATCCCCCCAGAGATTCTCGGCTTTTTGTACAGTTATCATGACCCGGGCCATTCCCTTACGAACAGGGCAGCAGTCGGGTGTTACTGCCGGGGTATTGTGACATTGACACACGCAAGGATCCCGTGATCCCTTGATGCCTGTTTGACAGCTCTCACTACAGTTTCTCATCAAAGCCTTCTCCAAGATGTAATGACTAATAGCTGAGCGCAGGTTTGCGTACCAAGGTGACTTTGGAGACACTAACTGATGGAGTGGGTCCAGAGAGTATGAAACGATGTCTGGATTCTGTGGTAGCGTGTTGAGCCAGTCCTTATAAGCTGATGGACTTACGTCTGCAGAGAACAGTAAGTCGGGCTCTGTGGTGCTGCCTCCCTTGATGTCTACGAACCTGCAGAGAATGATGTGTGTGTAAGATGTTGAGGTTGGAAAAAAAACCAACACATGAACTGAAACAAGTACAAATCCAAGGGAAATACCTGTCCCTGAAGAGGCTGGAGAAGGATGACTTACTCTCCGACTTCTCCATGTCCTTCTTGCAGTGTTTAACTTGACTCTCTACAGTGATGACATGGATGGTTGCTGATGCTTCCACTTCCAGGCACATCTGCACCTCTTCTACACTGAGGCCCTGCAGACTGGCCTGGCATTGTTTCACACTGGTCACCGTTTGAATACTTCCTCCTAACTTCACCTGGAATTACACTACATGTAAGTTCACTAAGTTGTCAAAGTGTTCCCGATGTTGCTGAAAACTGCATTTGTGTCTCTCACCTGTGTAATATAATGGGTCCCAAAGTTGTCAATTAGCTTGTAATATTGTTGTTTAGAACTGTGGTCGTAGGTTTTGGGAAGTTTTTTCACTGCTTTATTAAATTCCCTGTGAACTCTGGGGGTGTTTGAAATCCGGTACCTGAATTAAAACACACACACACACACACACACACACACACACACACACACACAGCAGAACACAAAAAAGAAAATACTTGAACATACTGAGGTGAAAAACCTTGAAGGTAAAAAGGTAGGTGTTATTTGTAGGAGGAGACGGCAGTGAGAGCTGCTATGACTTCTATGTTTCAAAGTAGTATTAGCAGAAGTAGTAGATGTTAGAAAATGTACTCTTACCTATAGTACTCACAGGACATGGCTTGACTGGTGAAGCTGTACTTGTCATTCTTGGTTTTATCCATTGCGTAATTAGCCAGTTTAGAATTAGTTCCAGCCATCATGATTGACGCTTTGTTTTTCGCATTCACTTCTAGACCGACCTTCCAGTCGTTTTCCACACTTGAGATGCTGGAGCTGAGCAGATCCTCGCTGCTGCGGTGGAGCTGACTGGACACCTTCATGCTGCAGGAGTGCGTGGGCCTCCAGTGCACCACCGACAGAGGAAGCTTCTGCCGTTTCATCTCTAGGTAGGGGTTAACGCAGAGGGTGCATTTTTTGTCCTTGCGTTGCCACCGACTCATGTCAATCACAAAGGCTCCCTTTCGAGCCATTGTGGTGATGTCGAAGCCCTCACCCGCCAAGTTGGTACCTGGAGCCGCTTCTGCTTCCATACATTGTTTTGGTGTCCCTTCTGTGCATGACTGATGTGCAAACTGAGGGAAAGACAGCACGACACCAGCACAGAGGCAAACGTTCAACAGAAACATGTTGCTAATGATGATGATGGGATGAAGGGGTCAAATATTTCCTGCAAACAAGGAGTCGGACATACAGGTCAGTACTGCCCCCACTGGACGACAGACACACTGAGTCTCCAACAAATGTCAGTATGTTTTTTGCTTTTTAAAAAAAAAAGCATTTCACACGTATTCAAGGAAACCCATTGATACACAACAGAGCGTTGCGTAGTTACACTGGTAAATAAATGACTTAGACTCAAACAGGCTTCTGCAATACATTCTATCCATTCATTTATCTGTTACCAGGTCACAGGGGCAGCAGTCGCCACCCAAATCACACTGCACCGTACCAACCCCCCTGAACCTTCCTGCGGGTGCTGAGTCCACTAACTGGGATTCGATCTCGCCCAGGAGGTGAACCCTGGGGTTCCACACCAATGACAGAGGCCTCTGGGCCAACGCACCACATGAAAAATATTATAGCTTTAGTCAAATCAGTGAAGAAGAAAAAAGAAAAACAGTAACGATATTCAAAAACAGTTCTGTACAGTCTGGTAGTCTAAGACAAAAAAAGAAGTTAAGATTAGGTCTGAACTGAGTCCCTCAGCTTGTTGAGTCAGCACCAGATCAGTAACGAGAGCCTGAAACCCCACGGTTACCACATTCATAGTCATAAAGGAAGATGTTTAAGTTTTGTTTTATGTCGGTCTGAGACACACAGAAAGAAGATTGATTCAAGTCCAAATATATTTCCCTGGGTCCCCCAGAGCCTACATAATCTCCAAAGAGCTTGAGTCCATGCCGCCACACACTTCACGTTCAACACGTTGGATACTAAAGCAAAAATCCTGACTGAATTTAAAGGCATTTTTGTTTGATTAAACAATTTGAATTCAGAAAAAAAACAAATGTGTGGACAGAAAACAATTAACATGAGAAATGTGTTTTGAAACAATACCAGATTCTGTGTCAGATTTATACTACTGTCAAGCCAACATTTTAATTTGTACCAAAATGAGTCAGATGTGAATAACTTTGATAAATTCTTGTCTCATGTTATGCATCAGTCACTGTTTATAATGCTTCCTGTGCGTTGTAAATTTTTAAACGTCATCTCTTAGATCAATCGAATCGAATTATGTTACGACGTTAAACAAAAACCAAAGAATGTAATAAAAAGCTGAAATGACTGTACAGGGTTAATAATTTAAACCCCACGAAAGCAGAAAGCTGAATAAAAAAAAACAATATTTCTAAAAGGGACAATTATTGAATGAACTACTCTGTAGAGACTCACCTGTTGTTGCTGAGTGCATGAACTGATTGTGAGCATCAACGCTGGTACCCTGTGCTTTAAAGGTTACAAAGGACGTGGTGAGCAGGTGGGGTGTTAGAAAAGAACAAAGGGGCGTGGGGGAGAATATGGTTTGAGTGTTCAACCGTGTTAAACAGACACAGTATTAAGGAGGTGGAGGTGGAGGAACTGGTGGTCTGCAGACAAACTCACACAGACTGTGACACCATAAAAAGCAAGGCTGGCTTTCCAGTAAACACTGCATCAGAAACCACAAACCTATCACTTCTCTAAAGTGGTGGTGAGCTGTGTCCAAAGTAGCTGAGAAAAATATTCACACATCACTGTTTTTTTCCCCACTGATTAAGACGTTAATTAACAAGTTATTATACAATGTACACAGAACGAAACGACTCTTTATTCTTCTCTCCTCTCTTACTCTTCTTCATATTTTGTTTTTGTAGTTGCAGCCAATGCTATCATGTGGCACTATTGATTAATTTATTAATTCATAATTTGGTTGATATTTTGTTCACATCCAAACCTAGCATAGAGCTTCTAATCTGCTAACAGACTTTGTTCTAATTATAGTTTACAGCCACATGGCTCTGTCCTTGACTTTATACTGTTTATGGCTGTAATGCTTAGAATATCAGGGACTATAAATAAAAAAGCTATATTAACACAGTGACATCAGATTCACGTCTCCTATATAAGCAGCTCACTTGTGTTACAGAAATGTCATTTTACATCAGTGGAAGCCTATAACTGCATTACTTGTTTATGAGGTAGAAATGTGTGGAAATTCTTGGATTCGTGAGTACAGCAGTTTTATTAGCACTATTCAAAGATGTGACCCATGCTCTGAATGCTAGTCTCACTGAGTAACAAACATACAGTATAAGTGTAGTTATATCTGCAACATCTTATCATCGAATGACACGTCTGTTCAACACACTCCTCACATTCTGACCTGTGGTACAGGGTGTGAACTGCTCAGAGCATTTATTGATAGGAGTACGCTGTTTTCTTTTGATAAGGTTTTCCAGGAGTTTCTTCTTGTCTTCCAATAAATCCACACTGTATAAAACTGTGTGGAGACTTCAGGAAATGTCAGCCATATTTGTTTTGCCCTCCCAAAGTTCAAAGCACATCATATTTATACCATACAAATAAAGCTGATAATTCAGTATTTTAGGCAACAAAGAGCAACTATTTCATTTAGCCTTTTATAACAAGCCAGGGTTGAAATGTGTTAATTGATATATAGTCCTTAACCATCAAACCACCACTGCCCCATTAATGAGGAATGTTTCACTGATTTCCGTGTCATCCTTGCGCTGGGGCCATGCCAATTTTAGTATATGTTACTTTTTCATTTTCTGTTTGCTTAGAGAATGTCAAGATATCAATCATTTGTTGTATTCTTGTTTTGGGTTTTACAACTTGTTTCATATTTTATTTTGAAAAGATGTACCGGAAGTACCATATGTTCAAGTCCTGATAGCTGATTACTCTGTAGAAGCAATGCAGGAGAGCTGAGGCCGCCGGGGATAAGTCCGCATTCTAGGGAATTCAGCCAGGCTGGTATAATGGCGAGACGCAGTTGGATCAAACTCTCTATGGAAAAATTAAATGTATTTTTTTCGGACCACGCCATTTGTGTTTGGAGTACTAATACACTATCATCTTCCACACCCTCGGTCTCGGGACATCGGTAGCTGAGTTCCTGGCGGCTTTGCTAACCCGCAGTCCTTCCTCTAATCTCCTCAGCACAATCACAGAGGACACTTATTTAAAAAATGGATTTTAAGGTCTAGTCAAATTTACGCGGAATTGTACACAATACAGTCACTGGTTTCTGACGGTGAAGTGAGAACTAGTTTAATGTGCTAGTCCTCCAGGTTACATCATCTGGATGTGGATAGACCGCGGTTCCCTCATCATCCCTGCCCTGGACACACTGCTGCAGTGGCGGAATGCTAACAACGAGGAAGCGGTGATTGTCGGCGATTGAATTATTAAGGTGCTTCATTGACACTTTTTCTCTTTATACTAAATGTGATGCCCGCCCCGAGGTTTCAGCGTGGATGTGGCTGGCCGAGCCTGCCTCCAGTCCTGCGGATGACACTGGCACCGGTACCGGAGGTTCAGAGCCATTCACAGCGACGGCGCGGACACACCGTGGCCGGGTAGCGTCCACAGAAACCGCCGAGAGAGAGAGAGAGAGAGCAGCCCAGCGCCATCACAGATGGTTTCTCATAAGGTTTTGGTGGCAATAATCTTACTGAACGTGTACATTGGCGTACAGTCCGTGTTTTACTTATTCGGTGGCGTCATTTTGAGCGTCCTGTTTATTATGGCATTTTTAAATGGACCCAGGCTTCTGGACTGGGCCAGTTCCCCTCCACATCTTCAGTTCAACAAATACGTCCTGACCGGGTACCGACCCATCTCCTCTGTGCAGGACTGCATCAGGAGTCTGTTCTACCTGCACAACGAGCTGGGGAACATCTACACTCACGGTGAGTACCAGGACCCTGATGGCCGCAGTGAGGGTGTGTGTGTGTGTGCGTGCACGCGCGCGCGTCCGTGCTCGCGAGGAAGCACTGTAACTTGTACAGTGTGGAACCACCTCAGATCTTAGCAGAACAGATGTTCTAAATCTGCACAGGGATGAGAAAGTCTCTGAGGTCCCGTGTGTTCCCCTCACCCTTTGTCACATTTATTGGTTTTCACTATTAAACTGAAGCAAAATTTTATCCACAGTTATTAAAACTAACGCTTTAGACCCAGTAAAGTCAAGTCAAGTTCAAGCCTCGTCCAATTGTGACGCTCCATAATCTACAGTAAAAAACATGTGGGTCTTGAACCTCATAATGCATTATAAATGAACATTCAATTACTGTATATATTGAGTTCTACATTATAATTATATCTACAGCACTGAGATTAATTAGACCATTGAACATCTTTTGTTGTTTGTAAAAGTATTGTCTCAGGATTTATGTAGTGCATCTGTAATGCAAAGTTGGTAGCTTTATCTTTAGTGATCAAATGAAAAAGCTCCTATAAACTAACTAGTAACTTTTCTGTAAAGTGATACCATACCAGCTGTTACCTGTATGTAATTAGGGAGGGGGAAAAAAACAACTGAAGGAGCATAACTGACCTGAAAATAGATACGTTGCAGTAAACGGTGCTTCCTGTGTCACCTGACTGGGACAAATGCCTTGACATTGGGAAAGGCAGAGTGAGCAAAATTAAAAAAAAAAAAAAAAGGAAGGAAGTGAGGTATTTGTGTCCCAGTGTGATAAATGATCATAACAACTGTATAAAGATCAGATTTCAAGGTCTGGATTTTTGCTCATGTAGCAGTGAGAGGCTCCTCACACACAATAAAAAAAAACTTAAATTGGCTCAGTGTAGCCCTCTTCAGTTATGGGGCTCTTGGCTGCATCTGAACAGGAACGTTGTGGGAGTCTTGTGTCTCTGAAGCCATAGGTCTGTGCCAGTCATGTCACCTTCCCCTCTGCTGCACATTATTCTTGCTGCACTCCGCACTCACCCAGCCTTTCACCGCTGCTCATTCCTGCACGGGTTTGAAAAACAACGTCTGTGGGTGAAGGAAAGTCCAGAGCCTGACAATCCGTCAAAATAAACATGACACTTTAATTTGCTTTTGTCAAACTCTATTCCGTCAGACCTGGTGGTCATGTTACCTCAGGATTTGCTTTTCTTTGTTATTTTTCAGACTGGGAGACAATCAGTCTGTCAATCATTAAGAAGCTGGTTGCATATTATGGGTGTAAGAAAATATTGACACACCAAAATATCGCGATATTTTGTTTCACAATACCGTATTGATATTTCACTCAATATTTTTTTTAGCCTACTCTGGCCCACGGGCCGTAGTTTGCCCATGTTAGAACATATAGATAGATTGTTACAGAAAGTTTACAGTTCTGGAAGGTTACGTTACTTTCTGTTTACATTAAATGTTAATGATGTGTCTTGACATAGCTATGCGTGAAACACTCAATCTTAAAGTTTATCTTCCAGATAAGAAAAATAAGAACTTCAGGTTCAGGGTCCCTGTGTCTCCACCTTTCAGGTATTCCTTTGGTCTGCTTCCTGGTGCTGCTTCCTCTCAACATCCCCTGGTCTCAGATCAGTGTCACGTGGTTGGGCGTGGTTCACTTCCTGGCCTGCCTCTCTCCACAGCTGGGCTCCGTGCTTTATCACCTCTTCATGAACCACGAGGGAGGCGAGCCCGTCTACCACACTCTCCTCAAGCTCGACGTGTGTGGAATCTGCATGATCAACACGCTGGGTCAGTGCTCAGCATATTTCTGCACCATTTGTCATCTCGACTTCACAGTCTTGTCCGACGTCCTTTTATTGCCGAGCTTGTTTACTTTATAGGTGAAATTTTTCTGCATTGATCGCCAATGATTTACAGTGCAAGTGTTTCTGCTTAGAGGTGTAGCAGGTATTGATTTGTCTAAAGGAATTTGAATGCTGAGTGCATGCTTTGGTCAGGAATGGGGGATGCTCCAAGTTCTGAAATTATTATTGATCTGTCCACGCAGCAGGTATTACTCTGATATTGGAGAAATGACAAGTGAGTCAGTTTAGAATTTATTTAGATCCTGCGCTGCTTCAACAGTGTGTAGGTCAAACAAAACTTCCAGATTGGCTTTAAGCTACGTCAGTCGTGTGTATAAAGTAAGTAACTTGGTTTACTACTTACTTTTGGCATGACCAATAAAGCATACTTACAAATCTTAAAACCTATAAATAAATATCTTTTTCAACAATTATTTCTGTGGGCAAACACTTGTGGAGCTACATCTGAGCAGGGAATTAAAAGAACAGTCGTATTGGTTTGTCATAATTATTGTAGCATTTCAGCAATTAATCAACCAATAATTCCATACAAGAGGTGATTCACATTTTATGCAAAAAAGGAAAAAGAAACCAAAACTACTTTAGTGACTTCTTATGTCATCCTTTGACCACTAACCACAAGTTAGTGGTTAGTCTGATCTTTTTTTCTACATTTATTTCAGTCTTGAACTGTGTGTACCGTCAATAAAACAGTGAACTGCTATTCTTTAAATAAAAAATAATAATAATAAAGAGTTATGTTTATATTAAAGGTACAGTAAAGGTAAAGACAGTATTAAATATATTTTATTAATAAATATACATTGATTTTTTTTAACATTTTAAAAATAACATGCAGTTTATAGTCTTTTTCTCCAGTTTTGGTGGCTGTCTGTCTTCCTCCATCCTGCTGTGTCCATCAGTGTCCCACAGAGACACCATCTGTTGGACCAGTCTGTTAATTGGTCTGATTTGTTCCAGTGGTTTAAGTGAGGAGTGAAGATTTGTCCTCCAGGCCAATGAAGTTCTTGTTTTCGGTCTTGACCTTGGTCTGTGTTTGTGTTTTCTCCTCTTAGGTGCTCTGCCTATCGTCTACGTCACCCTGCTGTGTTACCCTTTCGTCCGCACCGTGGCCCTGCTTGTCTACATCCTGCTCTCCAGCCACGCCATCTACTGCGCCGTAACGGCTCGGAGTAGTGTTCGCCGAATGCGCTCCTTCGCCTGGCAGGCTCTTTTCCGCTTCTCTTTCTTCCTGCTGCGCTGGGTGGGCGTAGGCGGCGGCAGCCCCACCTCCCTGCGATACTTCCTCACCATGGACGCGCTGGCAGTGCTGGGTGGGCTCATCAACATCACGCGTATCCCTGAACGTTTCCGTCCAGGTCTCTTTGACTACTGGTGTAACAGCCACCAGATCATGCATGTTCTGGTGGTGGGCTCCATCCTGTCTCTGCATTGGGGCGTGCTGGACGACCTGCTGTGGATCAACAGCCACGACTGTCCCTCAGACTGACCCCCACAGCTGCCCCTGCCCCTGTGTTAGCACCACTGGGCTGTAAGTTTAACAGACGTTTGGGTAAAGGTGCTGTTTGGAGGGGGAATTGGAAGAGGAGGGGGAAACTGAAAGGGAGGTGATATGGGGGGGGGGATATTGTCTGTGCATGTGTTCCTCTCCTTAAAATGTCCGTATCTTCATTGTGCTAAATACCGGCCAAGGTATGTTCAGTCACTCACACAAGCCTTCAGACATTCTCACCCTCAACTGGAACGTCCCCCATCTGGTGCACATACCCCTTTTATTTACCCCGCATATGGTATCAAATCATAGGTAGTCGGCTTCTGTTTGTAAGATCTGGGCCATGAGCTTAACGCACATCGACTAATGTAGACTATAAAGTAGAACTGGCCCCAGTATAGGCCATTTTAGGTGATAGCTAGACAGCAATGTTGCCAAGGAGCCCAAGAAGGCGTTTTCTTTCTGAGCTGTTTTTATGTCCGCATTCTCTCTGAGAAATGTTTCCGTCTTATAGAACCTGGAGCACTCGGTATAAGCGTTCTTTACTGAGGGACTGAATGGATCCTGCTCTGCGTGGCTGCGTTTGTTTTCATCACACAGAGAGCCTGATAAAGAATATGCAATTTAGTTTTTTGGCAGAAGTTCTCACTCATTCCCACTATGATCTGTCTAATTATACAACAGACAATTGTTATATAGTTCACCCCATGTAGACACCCTTTCAAAAAAATGCAGGGCATTTTCTCGTCCTCAAAAGTCTGGCGGTATTAAATAGTCCAGTTTGTATGTGACTTGTTCTCTGGCTTTAATGGTTCCTGTGTTTCCCAGTATCTTTATTACTTTGGAACCAAAGTATTTCCATTTAGTCCCTTATTGCTCTCATGGAAATACACATGTAGTCATTTCCCTGTACCCAAATTAGTGCAGTTAGTGTAGGGTTCACATGGAACCGAGAAACAAACCCGTACGATCCCTTCTTTATAGTCCAACATTCGATGGTGGAAACACTTTATATGACACAAATATGAAGGCTCGGGTGAAATGTCAGATTGAACCTGTGCAGTTACACATCACACACACACTTACACCGACACTGAAGGCTTTGAAGGTGTCACTGTTGCACTCAGTGCAGCACCTTCATCTTTGACACTCACACAACACCGTGTGTTTTTTTCACACCACTTGCTCCCAGAGAGATTTCACTCTTTCTGTTTTGATTTTTTTCCTTTGTGTCTGTGCTGCTGTCACTCTCTGCCAGTGTGTGCGTTCGTCTGATTGTCCTCAGCGTCATATGGTGACGAGGTGACGGAGGTTCATTCCTGATGTCGGCTGTGACCTCACTGTCTTTCTTGGCTGCAGCCAACATTAGAATAAGTCCAGTGGTTTTAAACTTATTTTGCTGATCCAACTCTTTAACTTTAGTAAAGAAATAACCACTAGTTCATATTGGCTACAACATTCTGTAGCAATACTGTTTGCTTGTTTGTTTACATGTATTTAGATTTTTTTTAAAAACATTTACTGTAAGGTATATTTTAACTACTAATTCCTGATATTTATTTACTTTTATTTTAATGCACATTTTTACACGCTGCAGACAGGCCTTACAAGAACACTGTTATTTTTTAAAATTGACATTGCTCCATGTGTACAGTAAAGCTGAATAGACATGTGGTAAAAAAACTGCACTGATATTGTGTGGATGACACTTGACAGTTACTAATGTTTATGCTGCAACTACTCCAGGAAAAAATATCCATAAGATGTTGTGGTTAAACTATTCTATTTATTAGGATCTGTGTTTAGTGAACAGTGTGTGTTTGTAGGCTGCTAAAAATGCTACTGATGTGCAGGATCACAGGCTGAGGAATAAAGCTAATGGTTTGAGGATACCAGGGTAATAATACTGAATTAAACTAGCTCTGAAGCAGATTTTTTTACCATTTATTTAGATTCTAGCATTTGTTTACATTTAATAATATTTTACCACATATTACTTTGTTTAAGAATCTGCACTGGTTTTTCCTCCGGGACTACCTTTGCCTAAATGCACTTTGTTGTTTATCTAGACACCGTTAATCTAGATATCTTTTATTTGAACAGTGGGCTGTTAGATTGAGCTG